GGGAACTCTCACATTTTTATTTATTTTTAATTTTTATTTTTTGTTAATCCTCACTCGAGGATATTTTCCATTGATTTTAGAGTGGAAGGGAGAGGGAAAGACAGAGAAATATTGATGTGAGAGAAACACATCGATTGGTTGCCTCCTGCATGAGCCCCCACCAAGGTCTGAGCTGGGGAGGAGCCTGCAACCTATTTATGTGCCCTTGACTGGAATCGAACCCGGGACCCTTCCATCCTCAGGCTGACGTTCTATGTACTGAGCCAAACCGGTTAGGGCTGTTTTTAAGTCTTTAATCTATATTGAGTTGATTTTTGTGTGTAATGCAAGATAGAGATCCAGTTTCAATCTTTTGCGTGTGGTTGTCCAGTTTTCCTACCACAATTTATTAAAGAGAGTATCTTTTTCCTAATGGAATATTCTTGACTCTTGTGTCAAAAATTAATTGACAGTATATTTGTGCATTTATTTTTTGAGCTCTTTATTTTGTTTCATTGATCTCTGTGTGGTTTCATGCCAATGCCATACTGTTTTGATTACTATAGCTATGTAATATAATGTGAAATCAGGAATTGTGTTACCTTCAGCTTTGTTCTTTCTCAAGATTGATTTGGCTATTGAGGGTCTTTTGTCTATCAGAGCATTAATAGCACTCAATATATAGCACAATTAGTTATAAGACAGAGTTACAAGACAGACTTTGATATTTAATCCTCCAAATTGATTGTGATCCTCTTCAGGGTAGTTGATACACCCATATATATATTTAAATGAGTATCTTTCATTTAGGGTTTTGTTTAGTTGAGCTGGTGTTCTCCTTGCAAGAGTTAGAGGGCTGGCACTGGTCTATGCAAATGCAGGAATCACTCCTGAGTCAGTGTATTTGTGATTTAATTCATGGGCTATTAAATATGGACATCAGGCTATGCTGACTAAGCTAATTTTTTTGTTGTTAATCTTCACCCAAGGGTATATTTTTTTTCCATTGATTTTGTTAACGTAAAAAAACCATTGAATCCTGTAAAGAATTTTTGTGAGTTTATTTGAGCCAAACTGTCGACATATGCCAGGAAGGAGAACCTCAATGAATTGAGATAATGCTCCGGAGAATGGTGGGGTTACATCTGCATTTATGCATTGCAGTCCAAGGAGGAACATAAGTGGGTTACATGAAATTCATTGGTGATAGATTAAGGAGGAGGGATAAAGCAAAGCAGGGAAACCCCTGGGATTGGATAAAAAGTAAAATGATGGACACATACGTAGGTGGGTACAGGAACAATTAACATGATGATGAAGGGATTTGTGGTATCTGTCGTGGGGCCCAGCACATTTGGTTGTGCCCCAGGGGCTCCAGATACAGGGAAGTCACAAGTTACCCAGACATTTCCAGGGTATGTTATCATAGATGCAAAAAGACAGATAGGCTCAGTTAAGGTAAAGGTTGACCTTGTCAGTGAAGATACTGGCCTAGGACATAACTGCCCACCATAACTGCTTTTAGTTAAAGTTTAATTTCAGACCATCCTTTGTGGTTACTTTAGGTCTCTGAGTTTGCAAGACTGCCATGCAGGCCTTCCCTGAGCTTGTCAGGTCAGCATGTGGCCCCTTTCGTCCACAATTTTTAGAGAGTGGAAGGGAGGGGTACAAACAGAAGCATTGGTGTGAGAGACATATCAATTGGTTGCCTCCCGCATGCTCCCGAACCAGGGCAGTAATCGAACATGCAACTGAGGTACGTGCCCTTGACCAGAATCGAATCCGAGACCCTTTAGTCCTCAGGTCGACGGGCATTCTAACCACTGAGCACTCGGCGGGGGCCTAAGCTAATTTTTTTGGATGATTTTTCTACCTTGATTTTCTCACAAATTTAGTTGCAAAATGTAAAAATTTATTGATATTCTTGTTCCCCTTGGCTAAGTTACTGGTTGCAGCTTTTACTTAGAAGGAAACATCTTTTCTTTTTCTAATAAGTGTGCAAACTTTTCTCCTTATAATGGAATGTAAATGGGTATAAGTACTCTGGAGCATGTGGTTTATATTTATCTGGTTTTACATTTCTTTCAGCATTGAAATAAAGTCCTTACATTATCTGGCAGAAGGTTACCAGTAGATATTTTATCAGAGGGCTCTTCACTGCCTTAGTCAAGGGACTGTACACTTTGAGGGAGTTTTGACAATAGGACTTTCCTTTGGGAGTAACAGAAAAACCTGGGGTGTCTCTTTGAGAACAAAGGCAGGGCAGAACCACCCATGCTTAAGAACATAGACTAAGCTGTGGTTTTGTCACTTACTAGGGAGTGGCCTTGGGCAAGTCCCCTATTTCCTCTTTTATGAAATTAGGTTGTTGTAAGGTTGATGTGAGCTGATATATATAAAGAATTAAAAGCATAGTACTTACTAGATTAGCAGATAATAAATGATAAATATTAATCATCATCATTGTCTCGTCGTCATCATCATCATCATCATCATCATCATCATCATCTTAGGAGAGCCAGGTTAAATTGACTGATTCTGTGCTGTGTGTGTGTGTGTGTGTGTGTGTGTGTATGTGTGTGTGTGTGTGTACGTGCGTGTGTACTTTTGTTTTTGAATTACCTGTAAGAGTGATTTACTCATTACAACTAGCTAGATGATCTTATGGATGAATTTGATCACAATAGAAATAATGATTCCCTAAGTATAGATTATCTTATGAAATTACTGAAAAAAGAAATTATTGATTATAGTCAATATTATTACTAACTTTGCAAAATAATGTGTTAATGCAGTTTTTTTTTTTTGTTGTTGTTAGTATTAGTGGCTCATTGAAAAAATCCCATGAAAATATGCCACTTAGCAAGGTTTGGCTTCAGACAAATGAAATTGAAGCCGTATAATGAGGTGAACAAGGAATACAGGAACTTAGACAACTGGAAAAATTGTCTCCAAAATTAACTGGCTGAGTGGTCACCTTTGCTGAAGTATTTTCATTGACTGTATTATATGACATCCCTCAGTTGGCTGTATTGATGTGTGGTCTCCTTTCTGAGGTCATAAATGACATTATCAACAAGACAGAAGCAATGAAACTGAGCTAAAGTCAATCAGCTATAAAACACATCCAAGGAACCACCAGGCTGCTGTTGATATGGGGAGGGCAGATACATACATTGTTTAGGTAAATAAAACTAGGTCTCTATTGTCTGTCCCTGCCTGTCAGGGGGACCCAGTTAGCCTGGATATCGTATGTTATCTTGTCTGGGCTGCTAGGGTTTCTGTTGTGCGATCGGCACCCATGTGAGCATTTACAGCAGTAGTAGGAACGATGCTGGTGAGCTGTAACAAATGGATGCTTTCCAAATTGGCTAAATTATGGTTTCTACATCAGAGAAGCCTGGGACATTAGGTTTTGTTTATGGTTGACTGAATGATGAAGGGAGGCGCCTAGTCAGCATATACCAACTGTTGTGCACAACTTGGGAGAGAGGGGATGGTTGATGGAGAGAAGGGACGGTCAAGAAGATGCCTCCAGTAGCAGATAATGTATGTATGCCTGTGAAATAGTTTTTTTGGTGAGAATCTTAATAATAAAGACGAATCTTAGACTTTAGGAGTTTGTCAGAAGGAATGAGATCAGAGTAAAAATAAAGTTTTAAGAAATGCCAACTTTTATTTTAGTAGATAACTTATAGTATTCCAAAATAAATTTTCTGTGGAATCATAGTTACCAACTGCACTGTGGTTCTTTGCTTTAGGACCCAAACATTTTAGCTGCCATAATTTACATTGAGATGATATGTATTCTTTATTATCCTCGGTTAAAACTGACTTTATATCAACTACTTTCTTGAGGCAAGAAATATCTGTAGAGTATAAGGTGTGTCGTCTAGACAGGTCAGACCTCCGCCCATTCAGGAAAATAGGGTAGTGACTTCCCTGAAATATGTGGGTGTGTCAGCTCCTTTTGTGAATAAGTCTCAGGCAGGTACTATGGACTGTAGGTTCGAATTCTTCTTAGGTGATCACACAGTATTATCTTTTTTTTGTTTAACAGAATAAAAACTGGCAAGAGGTTTTTTTTTCCCCCCAGTGGAATTTTTATTTTTATGCTTTTTATTTATTTTATTTTATTTTTTTGCTTTCTGAAAAGTAAAGAATATTTGTCTTTAAAAAAACTTAAAAAAAATACCGTGAGTCTAATAGCAGAAATATTTTTACAAAAGGTGAGAAGAAAGACAGTCAAAAGCTAACACGATGTAAGACTTTAGAAAAACAGTGGGCACAAAAGAGTACTTGGTCTGGAGGGTTTTCCCTTGAAATAGGGTGTCAGGCAAACTCGGCTAGAGGTAACTTTTTAAAGTTTCCTTAGTGGAAGGAGCTACAGCAGTGTTCAAACTGTCACTTTGTGAAAGGATCAAGGCATGGCTTCCTGGGCCTTTTTGTCTGCAAAGTGTAGACTCTTTTAGGGATAGAAATGTAAGTGTGTGGGCTTTGGGCTCTACTGAGAACTTCATTAGGAAGGGGAAAACTCAGGGAGTTGTACCACAATGTGAATTAAACACTTGACAAAGAACCCAAAGCAGGCATGGAGTTCATTGTCATGTTGAGTGACAGAAGACTTCTAGTTCTCCTTGCGGAGGGGATTAGCGGTGGAACAAATCTGGGAGGACAGTGTGCAGTTTTGTCAGATGCACAATGACATTTCTTTTCACAGCTCTCTTGACTTTATACTGTTTAAATATCTTTGGTTGTCCCTTAATTTGCTTTTCTTTCTTTAATTCCTGTTGGAAGGGAGCTTTTGTATAGTCAATTCCCATGTTTATTTGTGTGTTTTTTTGTTTATTGTTTTTGAATGGAAATACTCAAAATGGTATGTTAGTAACTGACTTATTTTATATTTTCTTTTCTAGGTTAACATAGTTTCATAAATACACAGGCTCTTTATTATTTGGACTGTTCATGTAATGAAAATCCTAATTAACTTTTTTGTTTCCTTTTTTTTTTTTTTTTTGTAGGCTAAGAAATGGCATTTAAGAAGGCAGTAAAAGGGACAATTCTTGCTGGAGGAGGTGCTCTTGCAACTATTCTAGGCCTCTCTCAGTTTGCCCATTACAGAAGGAAGCAAGTAAGTAACGGCACACGTATTGATTATAGCATGAAACTTAAATGTGTGAAAGAATTGTGTGTGGGGTATGTGTATGCTGATGGTTTTGTTTAGACATTACTGTCTCAGTTTGATCTGAAAGATACTAATTTAGAAACTGCCTTAAGGATCCTTGAGAACTGCATGTATCTGATTTTAAAAAAGTAAATTTCTTTATCAGAAAGTATTATATAACTTAGCCTCTGTTTGTGCTTTGGTTTTAAAAGACTGCTTCATTTCCAAGTGCCAGCGTTTGTTCATTTAGACTTTTCCTTGTTTCATTCTTCCAAATGTCTGGATACCTTCTTTGTTCCTGCCAAAAGTTTGTCTTGTTAGAAGTCAGGCAGCTGAGAAAGGAAATGGAAAAGAAAGAGCCTGTATTAAAGGCCCAAATTTGAATGTTGGTTTTGTTTCTTATTGGTTTAGTTTATGTAGAACTGCTTTATATTTGGTAAAATTTTTATGGGGGAAAGACATGAAAATGTGATTGGTATTGTTAACGTAAAAAAACCATTGAAACCTGTAAAGAATTTTTGTGAGTTTATTTGAGCCAAACTGTCGACATATGCCGGGAAGCAGAACCTCAACAAATTGAGATAATGCTCCGGAGAATGGTGGGGTTACATCTGCATTTATGCATTGCAATCCAAGGAGGAACACAGGTGGGTTACATGAAATTCATTGGTGATAGATTAAGGAGGAGGGATAAAGCAAAGCAGGGAAACCCCTGGGATTGGATAAAAAGTAAAATGATGGACACATACTTAGGTGGGTGCAGGAACAATTAACATGATGATGTAGGGATTTGTGGTATCTGTCGTGGGGCCCAGCACATTTGGTTGTGCCCCAGGGGCTCCAGATACAGGGAAGTCACAAGTTACCCAGACATTTCCAGGGTATGTTATCATAGATGCAAAAAGACAGATAGGCTCAGTTAAGGTAAAGGTTGACCTTGTCAGTGAAGATACTGGCCTAGGACGTAACTGCCCACCATAACTGCTTTTAGTTAAAGTTTAATTTCAGACCATCCTTTGTGGTTACTTTAGGTCTCCGAGTTTGCAAGACTGCCATGCAGGCCTTCCCTGAGCTTGTCAGGTCAGCATGTGGCCCCTTTTGTCCACAGTATGAACTTTCCAAATAATTTAAAGTGTTCAGTTGATTTTTATTTTATTTTTTCCCCTTTGGAGAAAAAAGGCACCACAACTATGCCTTCCTATAGTTTATATTAATGCTAAGAAATAATTTTGGTGAATGGTTTTGCTTTTTTTTCTGGGTTGAAATGCTGGTAGCCACCTCAGTAGTCAGTGTAAGTCCCCCAGGACCTAAGGATACTTTGTGATACCAGCTGGGTGGTGCGTTCTCTTTCTTTTGTTTTTGGGTGGTGCATTCTCTAAGCAAAGATGGAGATGCAGGAATGTGGGAAGCTATTTGTGGCTGGGTTATCTCTGAACTACTCGTTTTTACACTTTTGTGATAACCTTTAAGCCCTGGTTGTCTTACATTTGTTGTTTTGGTTGCTTTCGGCTATAAGGCGGAGGAGCCAGCCTCGGCTTGGAGTCCTATGTCCTGAATGGGAAATAGCACTTTAAAAGCACATATTAAGAAAAATCAATTTGCTGGCTTATAGTTTTTAAAAAAATATATATTTTTATTGATTTCTAAGAGGAAGGGAGAGGGAGAGATGGAAACACCAATGATGATAGAGAATCATTGATTGGCTGCCTCCCGCACGCCCCCTACTGGGGATCAAGCCTGCATCCTGGCCACATGCCCTGGGATGGAATCATGATTTCCTGCTTCCGAGGTCAACACTCAACCACTGAGCCACAGCTAGTTATTTTTAAGGCTTATTTTTAGTGCTTCCTCCTAAAGATGGACCATGTTCAACAGATTAATTAGTCTTTTTCATTCTTAACTTTGAGCACATTACGTTAAGGTTCCCCCAGGAGTACATGTTACAGGTATTATTAATTGCCTAACTTGTTACTGAAACTTAACTTTACCCATTGATAATTTTTGATGCACACCACTTTCTTTTAAAATGTTGTCTTGGTTCCTTAAAAGTGAATGTGAAAAGAAAAAAAATATATATGTGATAGTTTTCCTTCTATTCTTTCCCTTGTAAATATGAGCTAATGTAACCGACTTGGTACCTGAACCCTTACAGAACTATTCAGTCACCAAATGTGCTTTAACCATTGATCAGCTCTGAGAATCAACCTGTTTGTATTTAGAATACAATTCCTGTCTGCATTTTAGGAGGGAAGTTTTGTGCTGGGAATATCAAATGAGCACAAGCTGGGAGCTAGGAGCCAGGAGAGAGAGCACTGTAGGTACAGAGCAGGCTGTGGAGGCTATTTCAGAAGTGCAGTTTTGTTTGAGACTTGGGCTTTAATGGATTTGATTACTTCTGCCATCCTTAACCAGTGCTATCTGTAATGATACTGGAAAATGCCAGTGTCAAAGGTAACGACATTTAATATGATGAGTTGTTGCTAAATTTGTACATGGTTTATTACTTAAGCACAGTTAAGCATGTTCTACCTCAGAGCTTATAACTTAACTTTGTACCGGGGTAATATGTTGTTGTTGTTTTTTTTTAATGTTTGATTTCTTTTTAATTTCAAAGGATAGAACAAACAGTTGGTACTGCCTTCAGTTAGAAGTGAATTTTAATCATTAAAATAAAAGGCAAACAAGGGTCTGTTGATTTCTGGGACATTTGATCATTTTCTCCTTCCTACATTAGACATCCTGACCACCTAATAGCCAAAATGAAACAGATATCAGCAGTTCAAGTCATTTATAATTTTAAGCTGACAAGTGTTTTTGAGAAAAATCACCATAGGCATATTCAGTCAATGAGTTGCATATGATATGCATCCAAGTGTGTGCATTCTTTTGTGGTGATTCCTGTCCCTTTAAGCCACTGCCATGAGCATATTTTGGGTAGCAGGTTGAGATATAGCCATAGGGATTGCAAAAAAGGGAGAGAGAATGATGGGGAGGGAGCAAGGGGGAAAAGGAGACCAACGCATTTGAGCCATTGACATAAAATGACCACAGGCCTCAGCTGTCCTTTCTCAGAAAATATCTGCCAATCAGAGCCATCCTGGGCAGGAACATTTTCCTGACTTTAACAGTCAATAAAAACCTCCCCCTTGATATCCATTTTACATATATATATATATATATATATATATATATATATATATATATATATTTCAGTTTTCTAAGATGATTCTAACTGACAAAAAATTCTCCTCCTTTAAGAATTAGTTGGTGTTGAAAGCCCAAGATGCTGATGCCTGAGAAAGCTGTCTCTTGACTTTAAGTTCAGGCACATTTTGCTGGCATTTCTGTACCCACATTTTTCTCTCCCTTGCCCCCTAGCTTGTGGTCATTTGATATTCCCAGTACAAAGCTTCCTTCCTAAAATGCAGTCGGGGTTTGTATTCAAAATACAAATGGGAGATTCTAAGAGCTTACCAATGGTTAAAGCACACTTGGTTTGGTGATGGCATACTTCCGTAAGTGTTCAGGTGCCAAGTCGGTTAAATTAGCTTATATTTGCAAGGGAAAGAATTTTTAGAAGGGAAACTATGACACATACTAATTTTCTTTGTTTAATTGAACAGAAAACACAATGAAATTGAGTAAGAGGTGGTTCACTTACCTTGTACCCAGTTGCTTGAATAGGTGAGAAAAGAGAGACATTTGTGCAGATGCTGGCAATCCTGGGGGCAGTTGGGGGTTAGAGGTGATAACAATGATATTTTGGTCTCACTTTACTTTGTAGTATGGCTTTCCTTCTTACAAGCACATTGATTACATTTCTGTTATGTTTTTCAATGGTGAATAGTGTATACTGTTGACTCAGGTGAGGCCTAGAGATGTTTTTCTTTTTTCTTTTGAGATAAATGAAGTCAGATTTAGAAGGGATGGAGATCACAACGTAAGGAGAGAGCTAGTATTATCATTATTATATTTTCTTTGGGAACTAAGCAAACTAAATCTTCAATTCCGGTGAGGAAGCTGATAGAGAAAAGGAGATGAATGTGGCTGACTTTTGACTGTGACCACCTGCAAGGGAGGAGGTTTGTGGCCACACTGCATCCCCATTCCTGGCCCTGCTCCGTTACGCATGCAGTGGTTGAGTGGTCTTGAAGAGGCTTTCTGTTCATTTCTCCGCTTCTTTTATTTCTCCACCCATAAGTAGGTGACTAAGTTTCCACAAAAACTTCTTGATTTTTTCCTCTCCCCAGACCAGCCATATGTCAAGGGACAGGAGGCTGAGTAGTAGGATATACACATCCCAGCTCTATCTTAAGTCCCACCAGGGATGCAGCAAGCAAACTACTTCTGCAGTGGTGTGCAGATTTTCAGGAGCAAGGCATTTGTCACTTCCTATTTAGTATACGTCTGTTTAATAATAAACTGTTAATGGGAAGGGACTTAGAAGACATCCAATCTTCCTCTCAGTACAGAACGTTCTGCTGGTGATTCTTTAATATCTAGTGAAAGAAAAGGGTTACTTCATACTTCATGGGAGAACTATTTTTTTTCTTTCTTTTTCTAATTCCAAGCTGATAGGAGAATGGAGCTGATGAGTAGGAGGGTTTATATTAGGAGTGAGTGGCAGAGGGGCAGAGTGGAGAGTGTAAAAGTCAGGGCTGCCTGAGGGTTCTCAGGGGGGTGGGAAGAATGGAGTTAGCCGGGAAGAGAATGGAGTCAAAGATAGGGTGGGAGTGCAAAGATTTAATGAGGTGCCCCCTAGGCTCTTGACTTTTCATAATAGACCAAGGCACTTTTCGAAAAACTTTTTAAAAAAGCTGAACATTTATTTCATACCTTCTAGGTCCTAACTGGAAACATTGGTGTGATAGTGTGGGTTTCTTTTCAACCCCAGTGGTATGGCTGATGTAACCAAGACCTATTTAGGTCTGAGGGTGGGCCCTCTCACGTAACACCTACTGGGCTTG